TTTAGTTGAAGCTCTCTTGCCACGTGAGACCCTCTCTTCCAGCCCCCTTTGCTCACTTCTAGGGGATAGCCTCTTCTTGGTGACAAGTCTTCTCTGGAGAAACATTTTGTCTCGAGGCACTTTTCATACACCTCCTCACGACACAGTTCTCTCTCTCTAAGTGACCTGTAAGATGACACCTTCTTCTCTCAAAAGGGCAAAAGCTTTAGCTATTCGTGGGGGCTTATTGTTCCATATAAATTTCAAGAGTGTTTGCTCCATTTCTTTGAAGAATGTCATGGGTATCCTTATAGGGATTGCATTGAATTTATACAATGCTTTCGGTAGTATTGCCATTTTGACAATGTTAAGTCTCCCGACCCATGAGCAGGGGATATCTTTCCATTTCCTCATGTCCTCTTTTATTTCCTGAATTACTCCTGGTGGTGGTCGGGGGACCATATAAAATGTAGGAATCGAACCCGGGTCGGCCGCATGCAAGACAAACTCTCTACTCACTCTACTCCAATCCCATGACCTGCATTTTTCATACACCACATTTTTTAAAGCATGAAGCTTCTTAAAACTTTAAAATTGGGAAGTTCAATAGCCTCTGATAGATCCAATAGTCTACAATTTACCACAGTTCCCACCTCTCCCTCTTATACCCTACAAGCTTCTCACATTTACCTACCTTCCTACTCGCTGTCCCTAGCTTAGTGCTTTCAACCCACTGATTATCTCGATAGGAGTCAACTGTTGTTATGGTTACTGACATGGGATTATGATACTAAGACGTGTTCAACAGGATAAGGTTGAGCACAAAAAAACAATTGTGTTTTGACCCAACTTTGCCCTGCTTCGGCTTTTTAACTTTTCCGAAGAATTTTTAACAATGTTCAGGAAATGATTTCAAGAGAACTGCTCTAAATCACGCCCATGAAAGATGGAAACAGAAAGTAGACAAATGGGGGGCCTTCTGGTACTTTAAACTACCACAATCTCACATTTGACAAAATCTCTCTGACCTCTCACCTCTCAAAGCCAGTTCTTTTCTATGTTATAGCCTCTAAATATTTCCTAAAACTGCTCATTACTCTAAACCACCATCGCCTCCAGCCTTCCTAATGTTTTTAACAAAAAATTAAAAATACAGGAATTTCATAATGCTCAATCAAATTCTTAAATACTGTAATTACAGCTTTTATTTTGATTCCAATGAGCTGCTACAAGTTTTAATCAATTAAAAAACAAAAACAGTTCTCTTTTGCTCGACAGCAATGGGTTTTACCCACGGTTTAACACATTTCCCCTAAGTTTGGAAAAGGCTTGATGACAATTTTCAAAAGATTGATATTCCCATAGAAATCAAATGAAATTCCCTAATGTCTTTTTAAGAATCGCATCTTCCCCCTGCGCCCATGCATTTTCCCAAACTCCACACAGCTACCTTTTTAAAACACAAAGCAGAGCTTTGCCTCATCATCTAGTTTGTCACCACTTGGTTTCCTTTCTGCGTGTCCTTATTTTCCATCTTTAGAATACTTTATTTATTTATTGCTTTTGGGTAACACCAGTGATGCACGGGGATTACTCCTGACTCATGCACACAGGAATCATTCCTGGCGGTACTCGGGGGACCACGTGGGACGCTGGGAATCAAACTCAGGTTGGCTTCGTGCAAGGCAAACACCCTACCCGCTGTGCTATCGCTCCAGCCCCTAGAATACATTTTTTAATATATTTTTTTCTCAGCTCTTATCATCGATAATAACCTTTCCAGCACGAAAAAAGATCTCACCTCACTAGTACCAACTCACTGGGACCAGCGTAAAAGTACAGAGGTAAGACACTTGCCTGGCATGCAGGCTACCCAGGTTCCATGCCCAGCATCTCATCACCTCACCCCTGCCCCCAGGAGAAGTGCCTGAGTGCAGAAGTAGGAGTAAACCCTGAGCATTTTGTAACTGTGTATCTCACAGTTATTTAATTAAAAACAAAACCAAGTATCAACTCATTAAGAGTTCTTCCTTTCTTCATTTTCATTCTTGTGGATCTTGTTAATGTTGTTCCTGTGACTGGGGGTTCACACACATACCTGACTGTAGGATAACATTGGTTGTCCTTTCTCCCTTGCTACAGAGAGCTTAGGTTTTTCAGGTGATGCCCACCAGTGCTCCTGAAGCACCTCCATTCCTCGGTGTTTATTTAAATGTAGCTCTAAACATTTTAGGATTACACTGGTATGTCTGTTTCCCTTGCCACTGGGAGTTCAGGTTTATCACAGTGCTCCTGAGGCACTTCCATTCCATTGTGTTTATCTGTCAACTCTTCTCTATGCTCTCCTCCCCAACCAATTAATCAGCTTTTCCCCCTAATCAGACTCTGTTAACTTGTAAGATCAGATTCCTCAGAAATCTATGATTTTATATATGTGAATGAAATATTGCCTCTCTCCTCTCCTTATGTGTTTTGAATAGTTTACTTTAAAGCAATGTCCTTTTTGTATAGACACAAGAAAACAAGTTGTTATTATTATGCTCTTGTAACTTAGGATTTCTGGGCTGGAGCGATAGCACAGCGGTAGGGCATTTGCCTTGCGCGCAGCCGGCCCAGCAGAGCTGGGTTCGATTCCTCCACCCCTCTCCGAGAGCCCGGCAAGCTACTTAGAGTATCTCACCCGCATATATTCAATATGCCAAACACAGTAACAAGTCTCAAAATGGAGATGTTACTGGGCCCGCACGAGCAAATCCATGAACAATGGAAGGATGGATGGTTTGTAATTTAGGATTTAATTGGCTTCGAATATTATTCACTCCCGGGCATCTGCTTTCTCGACGTAAGCCTCAGTTGTCCTTAGTTCCTAGCACCCCAAAAGCAGGGTACCAACAAGGGACTGAATGGACCCAGGGCAAGCTGTGGGCTATCCTGGCACCAAAATGAGCCAGGCCAAAGTGCCACGATACTCAACTATAAGTTGAGAGCTTGGTCATGGACAAACACTGTCATGATCCAAAAAGTAACGACGAGATTAGAACCTTGCTAGGGATAGGAAAGACTAATCAGGCCTGAGCACTGTAGTCTGAGATCAAGATGGCCCCAGGAGAGCAATTCTGTGAGCTTAATGTATCTCTGTGTCCATACAAAATGATTAATATTATGAATGTTTATATGCTTATTGGGCTCCGGAAAGGAGAAACACACCCATATTTACCTTTAGGCCAGTCGTCTTGCTGGATAAGAATCTGTCCTGAAAGTAGCTTTTCCTAAGGGAAGGACCTTCATCTGCTGATTGTAGGATGATACCTATGCGTAATTGTTATCCCAACCCCTCATGCTCTGGGGATTTAACTAGGCATTGAGAGGGGGTTGGGGAATACAGAGCCAGAGCCAGAAGGAAAATGAAGGGAGAATGAGAAGAATGAAGTAGCACGGAGAAGAAGAAGCAGGAGAATCAGAGGAGAATGGAGAGGGGATTGGAATAAACTGCAGTTGAGACCAACCAGCCTGGCTCTCATTCCTTCCTTTGCCTGCCCATCGCCATCAACCTCCCCAGGGTGGAGATATGGCCTGAGACTACCGAACGCGGGCGGCGGGAGAGATGGAGCACCGCTGCCCTTTTTGTGTTTACACACCTGACTGTGGTGTTCACACATTTAGTAGCAGTGTTCATCAGGGGTCACGTCAGCTTGAAGGACTCTCACACTCAGCCACCATCTGGTCCTCACACACATTCTGGCTCGAGTGCTGCCCTCACACAGCTGCCTACAATGAGCTAGAAATCCCTTGCAGCGCCAGGAATCACAGATCGAAGCCCTGCCAGTGTCTGTCTGAACGTGCGTGGTGGCACCAAGGGGTCATTTATGATATGAGTACCTGTGCCTTTTTGGTGCTCATAGCCGACTTTCCCAGTCCTGACCCAGCCGGTAATGATCCCTGCATGCAGAGTCAGGAGTAAGCCTGCACACCGCCTGGTGAGGCCCCCAAATAAAACAAAAAACAAGAGATGGGAGCTTCCTTCTTACAATCCAGTTAAAGCAGCTTGAAAAACTCAGTAGCAATGACAGTGCCAGGAATAAATCCTAGTGTCTGCTGCCACCTTGTGTCCGAAAGTTTCAACAAGTTTCAACAAAATTTGTTCTTTGAGAGGAAGTGGTCGTTGGAAGTGGTTTATCTCAACCTTTTCATTCATGTGATTTGAAACACCACTACAAAATTCCAAATTCAAATAGAATACCCCCCTCACACACACACACACACACACACACACACACAGGGATACTGTTAGATGATCAAATAACAATTGAATTTTTTGTGGCACCCAAGCAAGAGAAAATTCACTAACTCCATTGGAGAGATCTAACAAAAGTTGGGCATCATGAAGGCAGGCTGCAGGGCAGGCAGCGGGGCGGGGGCGTGAGGGTGGGGGATATGGGGTGAGTGTGAAGAGGAACTGGGGACACTGATGGTAGGAAATAAGCTTTGGGAAAGGGGCGGGTGTTGAAACTTTGTAAGACTGAATCTCAATCATGAACAACTTTGTAAGTATTTGTCTCACGGTTATTCAATTTAAAAAAAATTTAAATTGGGCACCACTGATATTTATATAAATTCTTTTCTTCTTTGGAATTCAAACATGCACGTCCGAATGTGGTGATCTATTGGTTGGAAGGTTATTTTCTTACTGTGCCAGTGGTTAGGCAATCTAGCCTACATTTGCCTTGCCTGGTAACCTGCAAACGTGTTCCACATGGTGGCATGGAATTTCCCACCACTGCGTCAAATGCATCATTGGCACCCACAGTTAAATGGCAAACAGGGCCGGGCCCCACAAATGATGTCTGTCACACCTGGAAGGGAATAAAATAGAGGTTCCAAATCTTTTCTGCAAGCTTTTCCTAAACAGCCCGTAAGTTCAAACTGCCTCAGTAGTGACGGAATGATTTTTCAGTGGACTTAAAAGCTAAAACAAGCCCACCATCCACCCAATCCGAAACTTTTATTATAAGTTGACAGCAATGGACCACCCTCAGCTATGCCTACCAGAACCCTTCAGGGTTACTTACAGAAAAGTTGGCCAATACGGAAGATTCCAGCAACCAAGAAAGAAAAACAGTTCGTTTAAAAGGAAGGGGATTGAAAGGTAGGTAACTGGGATTTGTCCTATTCTATATTGAATGAGAATCTTTGGAGTTTGCATTAATCAATACTCATTGGGATGAAATTAGTATTGCGCATTTAGAAATGAAGGCTAGACAGGGAGGCTGCATTTATTCTTTGGATCAGGAAGCCTAGTGCAACCACTAAAGACTCATTTCATGCTCAGAAAAATCTTTGTGTCTATGTTTAAATTTTTTTTATCAATTCACCATGAATTACAAAGTTATTCACTATTGGGTTCAGGAATGCAAATGTTTCAGCTCTAATTCCTTCATCAGTGTCAACCTCCCTCCACCGAAGGCCCTCCCACTCACCCTGATCAGAAAAAAATCTTAATTGTAATAGAGAAAATCTCTCCTTTTCAATAAATTTCTTAATTTTTATTTTAATATGGCATGAAACTGAAATAAATTAATATTGACTAATATTAATTTGGTCTCAGTATTTAATATATCGTTCATTTCTTTCAAGTATCATTTTGAAAATCCAACAATACAGTCTTTCAGGTAAGTCTCTGGTCAACGCTTTCTGTTCCTTTTGCCAGTAATCTTTACTGCTGAAATACATATTACAATCACAAATCACAAATCATCCTGTTATTCATCGATTGCCTCGAGCAGGCCCCAGTAACGTCTCCTTCATCCTAGCCCTGAGATTATATTCAAGGCTCTTTAGGAGAATGAGATCCATCATTGTTACTGGTATTTGGCATATTGGGTACGACACAGGGAGTTTGCCAGACTCTGCCGTGTGGGCAGGCTCTGCCGTGTGGGCAGGCTACATACTACAATCATATTCCATATATACTATATGCAAGTTCTTTCTTATATTGTTAAAACTGCCATACCTGATCATTTTGCCATGGAAACAATCATAGAAATATGAAAACGCAAAACATATATTTAAAATTGGAAGTGTGGGGTGGTGATTCATTCTCAAATGTCTTTGAGCTTCCTTCTCAACAGATTCATCAGCATTAGCTTCAACTTGACATTGAAGTCAAGTGTTTTCATGAGACCTGAAACATCAAACTTCTGAATTTCCATGAGTAAAATTAAGATTGCAGAGATTTCAAGTGCCAGTATGAAATTGAGGTGAAGGGAAAGCAATTTAATCAAGTAACTTACTACCAAGATTTTCAACGACTTAAGAAGCGGAGGGTTTTTTTTTTTCTGAATAGAAATTGTGGAAGTTACATATGCTTCATAAATAACTATTGTGAATCGTTAGAACTAGATTGGGAATGGGGAAGGAAATAGTAGATTCATTTCTGAGACTCAGTTTCCTTACCTCTGTCCGTTCTACCTAAGAGCTTGCGTAAATGGCCTTTAAAGTTTCTCAGTCTCCTGGCGTGTTTCCATAGTTGGATTGTGTTCCAACTGCTTGTCAGTGTATTTATGATGGTAGGGGTTGATGAAAGGTTCTCAGAAAGATTCATGGGAGATTAATCTTATCTCATTAATGATCTTTGAGGAAAGTGACTATAAGTGTAAGTAGGTGGTTAGTCTCTTACAAAATATTTCCTATCGTGATTACAGAAAAGCTGAATGTACAGTTTAGAATATGTTATACTGTAATATTATGTGTCCTACTAGAGATATCAAGCTATTTTAGGTAGTACTTGAACATTTTAATGCATATTAATTTATTCTAATCCATATTAAAATATATGTAACACAAATATGGAATAGAATGGGATATAATCACTTAATCACTTAATCCCCGTTATTCATCGATTTACTTGAGCGGGTGCCAGTAACGTCTCCATTCATCCCTGTTGCGTGCTAGCGTAGCCCAATGGTATCTGTTGGTTCTAGGAACATGCAGAGCCTCAAACCGATCATTCAGGGTCTTGACGAAGAAGTCTGACCATCTTGTAGGTGGGTGTCCACGTGATCTTTTGATGTCCCGTGGAATCCAATCAGTAATGGCTCTAGTCCAGCGGTTGTCTGTAAACCTCATTACGTGTCCAGCCCATCTGATTTTTGATGCCTTGGCAAATGAGACAGCATCCCCAATTCTTGAGCGTTGACGAAGATCAGAACTCCGGATTCTATCTCTCATTTGAGTGAATCGTGATATTCCAAGCATAGCTCTTTCGATTCCTCTTTAGGAGACCCGAATAGCGTTCTCATCCTGTTTTCGTAGGATATAATATAAAGTAATATAAAACATAAGCTTTCACCCAAGAAATGAAGACCTATATTCTTATTAAACATCTGGGCACACGAGGCAGAGGGAGAGTATGGCAGATAAGTTGTTGGCCTTGCATGAGGTTGACCTAATTCAATCCTCAGTATCTCATATATGGTCCCCCAAGCATTATGAGGAGTTATCCCTGATCAGAGAGTGAGGAGTAACCTTGAGCACTGCCTAGTGTGGCAAAAAGACAAAATAACCCAAGTGTCAAAGAACAGATAACTGAATAAAGAAGTTATGGTACATATACACAATGGAAGATTACTTGACCATAAGAAAAAATGAATCATGCAATTTGCTGCTACATGTATGGGTCTGGAGAGTACATGTTGAATGAAATCAGAGGGAGGGGAAGAGACTGAGAATGATCTCTCTCATGTATGAACTAACAAGAAAATTCACAGGGGAAAATTAAATACCCAATGGCAATAGAAATGAAGAGCAGGTCTTCAGTAGGAAGTGGGGCAGGGGCGAGGGGGATATATTAGGGGAGGGAACACTAGGACAACGTGGGAGGGGAAATGTGCCAACGACAGAGGCAGACGGGGGGGCAGAAGGGAAACTGGGGACATTGGTGGAGGGTAGTAGACACTGGTGACGGGATTGGTGTTGAAGCATTGTACACTTGAAACGATCACAAATATCTCTGTAACTTAAAGTTCATGGTCATTCAATAAAAACAAAGACTTAAAAAAGAATATCACTGTATCACTGTATCACTGTCATCCCGTTGTTCATAGATTTACTTGTGTGTGTGCCAGTAAGTCTCCATTTGTCCCAGCCCTGAAATTTTAGCAGCCTCTCGTTATTCGTCTTTCCCAATGCTGCCATATTGGAGGCCCTTTCAGGGTCAGGGGAATGAGACCTGCTTTCCTTACTGTTTTTGGCATATCAAATACACCATGGGTAGCTTGCCAGGCTCTTCCGTGCAGGCGGAATACTCTTGGTAGTTTTCCAGTCTCTCTGAGAGGCATATATATATTTCCCTCTATGATTTGTTGCCTACTATCTGAACCCTATCTGAACCCCATCAAATATGGTGTGGTAATTATGGACAATGGGTGGGAAGTGTCTTATGATGTGTCTTATGATGCTTTTGCGGCTGTGCGGTCCAGGAATATGTTCACTCATGTGTGAGGCTCAGCTCCAGCATGTGGAAAGCAGCCCGGAGTGTGGCAGCAATTGGGTAGTGGAGGTCGGCTGTCGAGGGTGGGTCCCTTGGGGTGGGGAGGGCTTTCACCAGCACCCCTTTCCCGGTCTTTCTGAGTGAAAATAGCCTGGTGTGGAGTCTGGTGGCATGGTTATGGGGACCTCCTTTTATGCTCCCTTCCAGTAGAAGCAGCCGTGAATATGGTATATAATGTTATATAATTTAGAAATTTAAAAAAATCTACAAGTAGAAAAACAAAATGAAACAAAAACCTATGGACAAATGTTTATGACAGATTTATGTATGTTAGCCCCAAATTGTAAACAATCTAAATATCTTCCATTGAGTGAATGTTTAAACTGTGTGATACAATCACATCTTGGAAATGAATTAAAAACAAGGATCACGTTGTTGGTGTATCCAACAGTCTAGATTAATCCCCAGAGAATTATGCTGAATAGAGTTGGAGCCATAGCACAGCAGGTAGGGTGTTTGCCTTGCATGCGGCCGACCCAGGTTTGATTCCTCTGTCCCTCTTGGAGAGCCCGGCAAGCTACCCAGAGTATCCTGCCCGCACAGCAGAGCCTGGCAAGCTATCTGTGTCATATATGATATGCTAAAAACAGTAACAAGTCTCACAATGGAGACATTATTGGTGCCCGCTCGAGAAAATCGATGAACAACAGGAGGACTGTGCTACAGTGCTATGAAAAGTAAATCCTAAAGGGTCATATGCATGTGGTGTCACTTTGTTTTATTTTATTTTGGGACCATGCCCACCATTGCTCAGGGCTGAAAGAAGTCCATGGCTCGTTTTTTGGGTTTTTTTTTTTTTTGTCTTATTTTGCATTTCACCACTAGTTTTCTTACCACCATTTGCTGAATAGGTTTTCCTTACTCCACTTTAATTTTTGGCCCCTTTATCAAAGATTATCTGTTCATATACCTGAAGAGCCCTCTCTGGACTTTCAAATCTATAACATTGGTCTTAAAGTTTGTCCTAATTCTAGTATCACACTGTTTTGATTACTAGAACTTCTAGTATAATTTGAAGTTGGGAAAAAGAGGAACTTCTTATCTTTTTTTTTTTTTCTGTAGGATTGCTTTAGCTCTTTGAGGGGTTTTAATTACTCTGAATAAATTTCTATGTCTCTTAAAAATATCATGAGAGGAGGCAGATAGATAGTATAGCAGATGGGAGTGCTTGCACTAAATGAAGCTGACCTGGGTTTGATCCCCAGCACTACATATGGTCCCCTGAATCCACCAGGAGTGATCCCTGTGCAGAGCCTGGAGTAAGGCCTGAACATTGCCAGGTGTGACCCCAAAACTCTCTCTCTCTCTCTCTCTCTCTCTATATATATATATATATATATATATGCACATACTATAATATATGTTCTTGTAGAAGGTGTGGTTTTCTTTATAGAATTTCTCCAGCTCCATGTAGAACTTCTCGATTTCTCTTTCATCATAATGAGATGTTGGTGTGTAGACAACGAGATAGAAACTGCTGGCAGTGAGCCATATCTATTCAAATGTAAACGTTCGATTCGGGTTGTTAGGCATTCGAATGAATCAATGCTCATGGCCAAGTTTGTGTTGACAAGGACACCGATGCCTCCGACACCTAT